TTAAATATTGCAATGCTTCGCATGCAGCTCTGCATCGATCACTCCAGTGTGAGCCGTCTCTTCGAGCGTTCCGCGACGCTCATCGTTTCAATGACGTCACGTCGAGCTTGCGACGTCGCCCATGCTTTCTCGGCATCTCCAGCTGTACCCTTGTGGCCTTTCTGAGCACGGAGCCACCTCATGTTTCAATATTGCATGCGTGCAAGGAGTACCATTATCCTACAAGCAGGTTTCTAATGATGCATGATCAATATGTCTACATATATATGCATATATGCAAATGCATATATATATATATAATATACATTAAAAAAACAAAGACATATAAATAAGTAAAAAGAAATATAAACATGTATCAATATTTTAAGATTTGTAATCTATAAATATATACCAAAAATAAAAAATTAGAAAATAAATAAATAGATAAATAAAGAAGAAAAATAGATACATGCACTTTCATGCGTGCGAGTTACGTCTTCTTGAAGGCAGCTTTCGCTGCACCATACGCGCTCTGCCCTCGTGCTCTTTCCTTCTTGGTAGTGTTCTTCTTTGTCACCGTCTTGGGCTTCTTCTGTGTCTTTGGCTTCTTTGCTGCCTTCAGTAAAGAAATCCTAAGCCCTATAAACCCTAAACCCAAAGGGAACCCAAAGGGAACCCAAAGAGAAGAACCCTATAAACCCTAAACCCTTTCATTCTATGGCATGCATGTGTCCTGTCCATATATCACTGCAAGTCAGGCCGGAATCCTGTCTTGTCGATGCTGCCGATGGGTTCTTCTTGTTTTGCTCCTTGCGTGTCATTCTGGGTTCCTACGAATGCATGTGTTAAGTATAAACTGACACTGCTTCTAAGTTCGCTCTTCTGACGGATCTATATATATATATATACATATGCGATATAGGCCTGCACCGCTTTCTTTGCCACACGGAGCTGCCTTTGCGCCATAGGCGTCACAATCTTCGATGGAACCAGCACTGCCTCCGGGAACCTGCGATGCGCATCTTTTCTTTGGGTTAAGACGGGCCGGGGGGAGGCTCAGCTTAAATAAATACATACAGACCCACATATATATATATACATGTATGTATACATATGTATATGTATATGTATATGTATATGTGTATGTGTATGTGTATGTGTATGTGTATGTATGACCTGCTCGATTTTTTTGAAAACCCTAAACCCCAAACCCTAAACCATAAACCATGGTTCGTAATTCCCCGAGTAGATTTTTTGAAGTAAGAAAGGACCTTCCTGAATCTCTGAGACCCCTGCAGCTGCCGAGCCAATGGCTTGCTCTCCTGGCCCGACATTCCGCGTGTAGTGTTACAAAGTCTGCAAGAACTGGAGTGCATGCTCATGTATATGTGAAAATGTACGTATATATATATATGTTTTGATATATATATATATATGTGTGTATGCCTATATGTGTCTATATATATATATATATATATATATATATACTTTTTTATGCAAGCATGCTATATTCTCGCGCACACAGTCCTCCAAGATCTCCAAATCCTTGGAGCACTTCGATGAAGTCTCCTCCAAACACCATGGGGCTGAAATGGAGAACATATACAACATATATAATATACATACACATGTCCAAACTGTATGTACATACAATTTATTGGGCATATAAACCTGTAAACATACATATTATATATATATATATATATATATTCCAAGTTACGGGGTTTAGGATGTGTATGTATCTATCTATTTATTTACATTTATATATGTATAATTACAAAACATAGACGGCAACACAAGGCTACATCAAACACAGTTTTCCTCAGTGTCCGGGCTTCTGGATTTTGACCGGCTAAGCGATCGTCCGGCCGAAGCAGCGTCCTCCATCGTGCCCTGATGCAACATTGATCAAATGCATGAGGAGAGGGTATAGAGCACAGGGCAGTATGGGGTTCTTGTGGCTTCAAGGCCTCGTAACAGCTCCATGCGTTTCCGTCTTCACTTTGCCATCCATCTTCCTGGGCCCGGAAACCCTAAATGTTACACAGGTGGGGCGGCCGGGGGCGGGGTTCTATTATATATATAGGGTAGGTGGAAACTCTTGAGCACTGCATGCATGAACATATGTGTACTACAGGCAGGCGTCCCACAACCAGCTGCAATCTCGGACCTGTCATGCATGCAAAGTATATACACATGAGCATGAAGAACAAAAGTTTCAAAAACGGTACTTGCCCGGTTCACATTACGCTTGGTAGCATCCGCCCAATCCTCCCAGGTCTTTGGCCTTCCGAGGTCCTGCGCAAATCACAACATGTGTGTTATTCTTTATATGTATATACATATATAAGGGTTTAGGGTTTGGGGTCTATAAGGCCAGTTGATCGTGCCTCAGCACTAAGAGCATGCGTGTGTACGTGTAAATCAATATAGTATTGTTATTTTGCTTCATTCATTTATATGACTATGTATATATATATATATATCTAAATACATGCTACCTATATATGTCTATATAATGGACTTGTGTGTCTGTAGGCCTGCCAAAGTAACCACCAGTCGGCCTCCTGCTCCGTCATGCCACCATCCTGACAAGATTGAGTCATGCGTGCAAACCATCCAAAGCTAAAACCCAAACCCCACCATCCTGACAAGATTGCCCAGTCATGCATGCAAAGTACCCTAAACCCTTAAACCCTAGAAACCCTAGAAACCCTAAACCCTACAAACCCCAAACCCTAAACCCTAAACCCTTAACCCTAAAACCCAAACCCCACCATATATGCCTAAACCCCTCAACCCCAAAGTTACATGAGTTTTTCTGCAAAGTGTCAATCATCATTTTTCTCCAGTCGGTGTGGTCCCAAAATGGGTTCTCTTCATCCTCGCGCAAACAGAAATGGCGAGCGACCAACAGTGCCGTGTGTACAGTAGGTCTATAGAGCTGGGCCTCCGTGTCGGTCTCACCAAGAACCTTCGTGGGAGCCTCCGACTGAAACCACGCACACAAGTGACTTGTTGAATTTGAGCCCCAAGCAGCCTTGAGCCATGAGCTCTTTGATGAGAAGCCGTGCCCAGACAGCTGGGATTCAGGAGTTGGGCTCTCCTGATGGCATGCATGTACCAGTCTAGTTGAATGTTTGAGAGTTGAAAAGCCAACGCCTCCGGAACTGGCATTGTCTTCTCCCGAAGAACGAAGTCAGCCTGAAAAGTGCATGGTCTCTGGGGGGAGGGTCGGGGGCCTGGGCCTTGCATGCATGGTTCATACTTCGAGCTATATATATTATATGCAATATATATGTGTATATATACATGTCTTTGTAGGGCTCTGACTTTCAAAGCATCTGCTTGCTCGGCTGACATGGGCTGAGTCTCCCAGTCATCCATCGTGAGGCGCTTGGCGCGAGAAGCTAGTTGCTGCAGCCGCTTAAGCTGGCGCTCAGCCCACTGCGCCCATGATTCACTTGGTGATCGAGGGGGTCTGAGGTCGAGGTCAGGTGACTGGAGCAGCTTTCGCACAACCATCTTGCAAAGCTTTCTTGTAAAAAACCGGCCTGTACAAGATGCAGCGAACCTGAACATCTTGCGCTGCTGAGTTTTTTTGAGGTTGCCCCTCGGGAAAAGTTCACCCGTCAAGTTGGCCTTGCACACCAAATCCAAGCGCGGGTCGTTAAAGTGGGCATGCAATTGCCGGAAAACATGCTCCGCATTCTCCGACCTCGCTTGCCGTTGTTTTCGAAGACGGCATTTTTCGGGCATTGAAATTACACACCATATATGAGCTCGATCCTAGCTAGCGCCTTATACAGAAGGCATGCGTGTTGAATGGCATGCATGCACATCAAAACATGCGTCGATCGATCATGCATGTTAAAAAACACATGCCCGACGCGAGGCCTCGCATGCGAGCCAAAATATTGCACGACGGAAGGAGATTGATGACTCGATCTGCTTGCGTGCCTCTATGATATGTGGACACAAGCGAAGGCAGGGAGGGAGCACCATCTTTCCTCCATGAAGCCTGCCCACAGGATCGAGGCATGCACTTTAGTGCTCGTAGGCAGCTCTCTCGTGCCTCTTTTCCTGCCGAAGAGGTCGAGGACATGTGTCGAACCTGCAGTCTTACACAAGCGATATATTACATCTACAAAATTGATCAGACGTACTGGGTACCAGGCATTCCAAGACCGTCAAAATCAGGCCATGGCGTTGCATGAGTGCAGGACATATATCGATCGGCTTTATAGGGGCTCACCTTCTAGGATTCCTCAAGAGTTTTTTGGCTCAGGGTTAGCATGTCCGACACATGCATATACACACACACATATATATATATATGTATATATATCTATATATATATATATATACGGTTTCGGGGTTTAGGGTTTCACGGTTTTAGGGTTTCAGGAATTAGGCTTTTTAGGGATGAGGGTTTAGCTAAACCTATAGGGTTTAGGGTTCATGTGCAAGGCAGTGCAGACAACCTAGCGCGCAAGCACTGGCCACAACACATCCAAAAGGCAGCTTCCAAGACATGCAGCTGGATGGCTAGGGTTTAGGGTTTAGGGTTTATAATAGGGTTTAGGGTTTAGGGTTTATAATATATAGGGTTTAAGGCGGTACGCAAGCACTGGCCACAACGCATCCAAAAGGCGTGCAGCTTCTAAGACATGCATGCTGTAAAAAATGCATGTGGATGGCTGAACTATATATATTGTTTATCAAGATTGTGGGTGCCATATCATATCACCTATATTAATTTACTTCTGTGCATGGGCGCGAATGATCAACGTTCAAAAGCGAAAAGTTCGCGAACATGAAAAAAGTCAGCTTCTAAGACATGCATGCTGTAAAAAATGTGAATGGCTGCATTATATTTGTTTACCAAGATTGTGGGTGCCACTATAATTATCACCTATTACTTCTGTGCGGATTGCATCGGGTGTACATGTAATGACGTTCAAAAGCCAAAAGTACGCAAAAAGGTAAACAACATCATCGTTTCCCGCTATGTGGGGCACATGATCGCTGCTTTAGGGTATAAGCCTTATACAGCGATCCGAAAAACAGCCCTGAAGCTGATCTATACATCCGGTCCATAAGGTCGGTCCATATGTCCGTTTGGCACCTATTGGGGCGTGCAAGACGCATTTTGCGTTTCTGCATGGAACAGGAGGCTTGCTGGTCCCAAAAGGAACCGCTTTCGCTAAGGAGGCCGACGAGGCGTTGCGCCAGTTGGCTTGGAAGCACAAGGGTGTCGGAACCAAGATGCAAGTGAAGAACGGCATCTACGTGTTTCCTCTGCAAGACGAGAAGAAAGGAGTGAAGGGCGGAAGCAAGGGCCAAGACGGCCTGGGTTTCACGGGGCGTCCGTAGACGGTGTAAGGCCCAACGGGCTTAGCGTTTCACCCCTAGACGAAGAGGCTGAGATGGTTGAGGAAGCGGCCAAAAGGAAAGCCGCCGGAAAGGCAACGCTCAAGGTGTTAGCCAAGGAAGACAAGAAGAGAGAGAGAGAGAGAGAGAGAGAGAGAGAGAGAGAGAGAGAGAGAGAGAGAGAGAGAGAGAGAGAGAGAGAGAGAGAGAGAGAGAGCGAGAGAAGAAAGAGAGGAAAACGACACAACAAGGAGCAAGCGCAAGCATACAAGTGCCAGCAGCAGCGCCAGCAGCACAACAGCAACAACAGCAGCAGCAGCCAAGCGAGGAAAAAGGAGGCACTGAAGACGACCGCTTTGCCGAGGAGCCGGAGGCTCCAGGCGAAGAACAACAGAGGGCGATAGTGCCGAAGAGCCCAGACCAGCCAACGGCTGACCAGATCGCACAGCACGAAGCCTCGGGGCACGCGGTGCACCGTTCCTGGTGCGTCCACTGCCAGAGAGCGCGAAAGATGGTGAATCCACATTACCGGATTCGGAGAGCCGAACTTGAGACATCTTTGCCGACGCTACACATGGACTACTTCTTCCTGGGCAAAGAAAAGCAGGAAGACGACGTGATGCCGCACCTGGTGGTTCGGTGCGACAAAACGCAGCGCACTTGGGCAACTTCGTTGCCCGAGAAAGGCACGCATGCGTACAACGTCACGTGGTTGGCCAGCGTGATACGCGAGGCCGGATGGAAGAGGATGTGCTTATTCTCAGATAATGAACACGCCCTCCGTGCGCTCAAACTCAAGGCCTCCGAAGAAGTCCAAAATGTAGTGTTCGACTTGAGAGAGAGTCCTACAAGTACGGAACACGAGAATGCGCCATCGAACGGCATAGCCGAGGCCGCAGTGAGAGAGGTGAAGCGAATGGTCCGAGCTATCCTGTCGGAGCTGGAGACAAAGCTTAAGATCGAGGTGGGCGTGGACCACCCGATTCTCGCCTGGATCGCGAGGCATGCAGCGTTCTTGATGACACGTTTTCGCATTGGCGAAGACGGGAAGTCAGCTTACGAAAGGACGCTGGGCCGACCGTGGAGGCGACCTACCATTGTCTTTGGCGAACAGGTGATGTTCAAGCCAGTTGGTTCGAAACACAAGCGAGGAAGCCTAGATGCAAGAGTTTGCATGGGACGTTACGTCGGAACTGCGTCGAGGAACGCAGACTTGCTGATCATGACGTCCGAGGGTATATCCCGGGGCCACTCCCTGCACAGGAGGCCCGAGGATGAGAAATGGCCTGTTGAAGGTTTCGAAGTGCTACGCGGATTGCCTTGGAGGATGTCCGGTCCACAAGAGCGAGCGTCGCCCAACCGAGTCGGTATGCCCGCTCTCGAAGGCGAACAACCCGCGCCACAACACCGAGACTTCAAGGCACGCAACCTGTACGTCATGAAGTCCGACATTGAGCTGTACGGCTACACGCCTCAGTGTCCGGGATGCGATGCGCAGCTGATGGGTCTCCCGCAGCGAGCGCACAATGACGAGTGCAGGATGAGAGTGCAGAGAAGACTGCAAGAAACCGAAGAGGGAAAAGAAAGAGTGAAAAGGGCCCAAGAGCGAGTTGAAAAAGACTACGGAAAGCGGGTCAAAAGAGACCAACCCGCGCTGGAAGGAAGGCCTGCCCCCGACGCAATGGATGTCGCAGCAGAGGAAGCGGCAGGCGCACCTTTGTCCAGACCAATGGAGGTCGAGGACCGCGCCGAGCCGAAACAGCGGAAGCGCGCAGCGTCCAAGGACGTCGAGGACCTTTACCGGGAAGAGCCCAGCACGAGGGCTACCGATGGTCCAGATGTCGAGGTCATTGGAGTACACGTGCAAGGGGGAGCAAGTGGCTCTGCAGGACCCGGCCTGGACCACTCACGCCAACAAGCACGAGCAGATGCAGAAATGTACGACGCAGCAACGGCGAATCCGCCGCCAGCCAACGAGGAAGTGCGAATGAACCTGATTACGCGGATGTTCGAACAAAAGGGGCTCAAGTGCAGCCCGACCGAAGCGAAGGCCATAAACTCTATGGTTCTACAGTTGGGAGGTAATGGCAATTCAGCTGTGCCCTGGAGCATGGTGAATGAAGGCATTATCTTGCCAATGGACCAAGAGCCGCCGATGTTCGCTCAGGCTGAGCATTTGCGTTTCTTCGAAAAGCTGGAACAAGTGAAGCCAAAGCTTCTGGTGGGCAAGCTGCCCACTGGACCCTTCCAGTCAGTACAACGTGCTTTCGACATGACCAACAAGATTGGAGTCGAGACCAGACGCGGAAATTTGAGGAAGGCCCGATCTCAACTGGGGCTTTGCTTTGAGGCCTTCGAGGCACAGAAGGAAGCCGGAAACTACTTCCTCTATGAGTGCCCAAGGGGAACTAAGTCCTGGGAGCATGAACTTGCTCAAAGGATGGGTTCGTACTTGGTTGAAGGCCCAATGTGCAAGTGGAAAGTTGACGAAAGTGGAAAAATGATTGCAGGCCAATCCGGCAAGAAGCGAACCCGCTGGATTACTAATTCGGCGACGGTTGCAACAGCGCTGGAAAAGCTATGCAAGGGCAATGCGAAGGTGTGGAACCGAACGCTAAGCTTCAAGGAGGGGATCGTGACGGCCAAGGCCGAGTATCCTCCGAAGCTTGAAAGAGCACTACTGGCAGGAGTGCGAGCACAACTGGTTCTGGATGGAGAAATGAAGGAGGTGGGCCATGTGGGTGGACCTGACCCACACGAGGAGCCACCGCTCGAAGAGTATCTCCATGACACCTTACCCAAGGCAGGGCAGCTTCACGTAAGCGAGCCCGTCATAGACGCAAACACAGGGGCACAACTTGATGCCAGAAAGGTTGCGGAAGCAAGAGCGTCAGAACTTGCCTGGGTGAAAAAGCAAGGTGTGTACGAGAAAGTCGAAGAGAGCGTGTGTTGGGACGAAACAGGTCGTCCGCCCATAACCTTGAAGTGGGTAGACCGCAACAAAGGGGATGATGTTCGGGAAAACTACCGCAGTCGTTTGGTAGTCCGCGAGGTCAAGTCACAGGGACAAGCGGCGTTGATACCAGACTACGCGCTGTTTTCCTCAATGCCACCTCTGGAAGGATTGAAGATCCTATGCAGTCTGCTGACGACACTCAAGAGGTCAAAGAGCGGAAAGAAGCTCACGCTGAAGCTGACAGACATATCACGTGCACACTTCTATGGAAAAGCAGAACGACGTGTGTTTGTCACACTTCCCGAGGGAGATGAAGCTCCCGGCTTTTGTGGTCTGTTGAAACGGACCATGTATGGCACCCGTGATGCCTCAGCTGTATGGCAGAGATCGTACACAAGCCTGTTACGCAAGCACGGGTTTGTCGTGGGAAAAGCATATCCGTGTACCTTTTATCATGCCGAAGCCGACGTGAGATTATTGGTGCATGGGGACGATTTCCTAGTCTTGGCAGACGAAGATGGACATCGCTTTGTAGACAAAGTACTGTCTGAAGAGTACGAGTTCAAGTGTGATGGCCACATAGGACCTGAGTGTGAAAAGGATAGCATGACTGTCCTGAACCGGGTCGTGAGCTATGACAGCCAGACAGGAACTGTTACGTACGAAGCGGATCCAAGGCACGCGGAAGCCCTAGTGCGCGACCTTGGACTGGAGTCTGCGAAGGCGGCCAAAACGCCAGCAGAAAAGAAAAAGGGAAGTGACCTGAAAGCGATGCTTGAAGCACAGCCGTTGAATGCCGAACTTCAGAAAGCATATCGGTCTCATACGATGAGGGCAGCGTTCCTTGCGCAGGACCGTCCAGACATTGCCGAGGCTACGAAGAGCTTAGCGCGGCATATGAAAGAACCCACAGAGTGGGCATGGGCCGATCTGAAGAGGCTTGTCCGCTACTTACGCGGAAATCCACGGCTGATCTACGAGTACCACCCGCAACGGTTCAGCAAAGAGATTGTGATGTACTGCGACTCAGACCACGCTGGTTGCCTCATCACGCGGAGGTCAACCACGGGACTGGTGACAATGCTTGGATCGCACTGCGTGAAACACTCAAGCAACGTGCAAAGCACGATCTCCCTCTCGAGTGGAGAGAGCGAGTTTTACGCTATAGTTCGAGCAGGGTCAATAGGTCTGTCGCTACAGGCGATGCTAGAAGACTGGGGATTAAAGGTCGGTCTGCGGATTCGATCTGATTCCTCGGCGGCCCGAGGCACTACCCAGCGCCAGGGCCTGGGTCAAGCACGCCACGTGCAAACAAGATACTTGTGGGTGCAAGAGAAAGTCGCCACGCGAGCTCTGGAGCTAGAGCGTGTAGGCACGGAGAAGAACTACTCCGACATCTGCACCAAACCAATGCCCGAAGTGGCAATGCTCAAACACCTCAAGAACATGGGATTGCGTTTTCATGTTGGACGAGCCGGAGCAGCCAAACGGCTCGTGTGAAGCCAATGGGTCAAATGACCACCTGGCTTAGGAGGGGTGTTTAGATTTGTAGGTGTCACACAACATGTTTCACAATGAGTGAGCATACACATGCGACATTGGCTCAAGCCGTCAAAAGTGATTGCACCTGCAGTGTTAGTTCTGCCTTAAACTCCGTTCAAAACCCCAAGCCCTAAACGCCCGAGACTTCTCCAAACTTTCCCCGAACCAGAACCTGAACAATTTCAATAAATCCTGAACCCTAAGCCCTGAACCCTTATACCCTAAACGCCTCAATTCTCAGCCCTAAACCCTAAACCCCGAACCTCAAACCCTAAACCCCAAACCCCAAACCCTAAACCCCAAACCCTAAACCCCAAACCCTAAACCCCCAACCCTAAACCCTAAACCCCAAACCCTGGACACCTAAAAGATCCTAAAAGCCCCAAATCCCGAAGTTCCACAAACCCGAGGAAGCGCTTCGGCGCTGGAGCTGCCAAGCATTGCTCGGGGCCCTTGTGGTTCAGGGTTTAGGGTTTAGGGTTTAGGGTTTAGGGTTTGAGGTTTAGGGTTTAGGGTTTAGGGTTTAGGGTTTAGGGTTTAGGGTTTAGGGTTTAGGGTGGCTTCATCTTTGTTCCTTTGGGATTGCCTGAGCTTTAAACATAGGGGCCTATTTGTGACTATTGTTGTTTTGGGGGTTCCAGCTCCAGGGCTTCGGGTTCAGGATTCAGCCAGAGGGTTCAGGGCTTCGGGTTCAGATCCTAAACCCTAAACGCCAAACCAGGTTTCTAAAGCAAAGGCTTTAGGGCGTTCGTGCTTGAGGTCACAGAGGCCATGGCCATGTCGGGCTGCGACGAATTGACCCCAAGCCCTGAACCCTGAGACTCTTGCTTCCCAACGGGCACCCTAAACCCCGATTCCTAAATATCGTACCCACCCCGATTATAATCCCTATGAACAACTGTTAGTAGAAGGGGGAACATCCCAACCTACAGTCTCAATTCAGAAGCCTCGAGCTCCTGGTTTCGCGGCACAGTGGGTAGCTTTGGCAATTCTTAGGGTTTGGGCTTTGGGGGTTTTCGGAATTTCGGGGGTTTAGAGTCCCTAACTCAACGTTCCCGGCTTCCTCCAAAACCCTCATCGCCCTGGTCCCCCAACCCTAAACCCTAAACCCTAAACCCTAAACCCTAAACCCTAAACCCTAAACCCTAAACCCCAAACCATAAATCCCCCCAAGCCCCAAAGATCGAAGATGAGGTGCAGAGATGCTCGGGCGCTGTAGGACAGTTGCGAGGCCAGCCCCTCTGATGTTGATGGCTCAGAAGGGGAGAAGGATCGGTAAGCATGGTAGGGTTTAGGGTTTAGGGTTTAGGGTTTAGGGTTTAGGGTTAGGGTTTAGGGTTTAGGGTTTAGGGTTTAGGGTTATACACCTTAGACCCTGAAATCGATTCTCGCCGAAACCCTGAGACCTGGGGGTTTGGCGTGCTGCGTTACTCTTGATATGCCAAATCCCACAAACCTGGAGTCTGAACCCCTCAACCCCTAAAAGCCCTTTCGCCCTCAGTCGTCTACGAACCTAAACCCTAAACCCTAAACCCTCAACCCTAAACCCTCAACCCTAAACCCTAAACCCTAAACCCTAAACCCTAAACCCTAAACCCTAATCCCTCATCCCTAATCCCTAAACCCTAAACCCTAAACCCTAACCCTAACCCCTAAACCTCAGGGTTTATATTCTAAGCCCCAATCCCCAAAAAATTCGAACCCTCAACTCCAAAGTCCCTTAAGCCCTAAATACCCTAACCGCCCAAGAATGCATGTCTAAACCCTAAGCCCAGAGTCCCTAAAACCTAAACCCTAAACCCAAAGAATCCCTAAACCTGTAAAACCCCAAAACCCTAAACCCGTAAACCCTAGCCCTAAACCACAAAAACCCTGAAACTCCCAATCTCCGGAACTACCGGCGTCTCGTCCAGGCCGGCAGTGGCGGAGGTGGGTCCAAAGGGTGATTCTAAGGTTCAGGGTTCAGGGTTTAGGGTTTAGGGTTTAGGGTTTAGGGTTCAGGGAGGGAGGGGGTATAGGTTTGGGGTTTAGGGTTGAGGGTTTGGGGTTTAGGGTTCCGGGTTTAGGGTTCATGGGGGTTCAAGGGGCTAGGTACCTGGGAACCTTAACGATGCTTCGGGAGCCTTAAAGAGTAGTGGGGAGTATTGCGATACATACCCCCCTTGAACCCCTCTCCCGGAAGAGCCCTATAAGGTGCAGTTGCGGCGAGTTACGGTTCTCATGGTTTCAGGGTTTGAGGGTTGTGGGGTTTAGGGCTTTTCAGGTTGAGGGGTTGGGGTTAAGGGTTCATAAAGCTTCAGGGGTTCAGGGTTTCAGGGGTTTTACGGTTTGGGGTTCGGGGCATTTGCGGTTTCTCGCGTACGCAAGTACTTCTTGGGGAGGGCGTGATTGAGGAACATACTCCCGAATCTCGAATGAAGAAGTCAACAGGAGAGCAGGCACGAACGCCCACGCAGAACGCACTACACCGTAAAACCCCAAACCCCAAACCTAAACCCTAAATCCAAAAGCCTAAGCCCGAAGCCCCAAGGCCTACATGCCCGAAAGCCCAATCCAAAGCAGAAATCGTGCCCATGTGGGTAGTTCACCAACTATGGGCTGACTGCCAGCCTCGCGTGGGGGGACTCTTCGGGTGTGCGCTATGGGTCTCCGACACCCTGAACCCTGAACCCTGAACCGAGGAGCTGGCAAGGCAACTCATGGTCCCCTCCGATGCCTTAAAACCCTAAACCCTTAACCCTAAAAGCCTGAACGCCAAACCTAAACCCTAAATCCCGAATCCCTGTTTCAGCCCTTGACAGCTATAGAAGTCGTGTCCATAAACCCTGACAAGGGTCCCTGAACCCTAAACCCTAAACCCTCAACCCTAAACCCTAAACCCCAAACCCTAAATCCTAAACCCTCAACCCTAAACCCTAAACCCTAAACCCTAAACCCTAAACCCCGGGGCTTGGTCATCCAGGCCATCGTCCGCCTGGGCAGCGCAGAGGCTGCCGAAAGCCTGGCCCCCAAAAGGTTGAGGGTTTAGGGTTCAGGGTTTAGGGTTTAGGGCTAGGGTTTCGGATTAGGGTTCAGGGGTTAGGATTTAGGGCTAGGGTTAGGGAAGTCTGCAAGGTTTTACGTTACGTTTCAGGGTTCAGGGTTTAGGGGGGGTCAAACGGCCGCAGAACTCTCAGCTTAAGACCGTAAACCTAAACCCCTAAACCCCTAAGCCCCTCAACCCCTAAACCCCTAAACCCCTCAACCCCTCAACCCCTAAATCCCTAAACCCCTAAACCCCTAAACCCCTAAACCCCTAAACCTCTAAACCCCTAAACCCCTAAACCCTAAGTATACCTCAGCCTGGGTCCTCCGACCCGACGCCGCGCTGCAGGTTTAGTGCCGCTCCTGGCCAGCCACAAGCCCAGGAAGTTCGTGAAGGTCAAGGTTTTAGGTTTTAGGTTTTAGGGTTTAGGGTTTAGGGTTTAGGGTTTAGGGTTTAGGGTGTCATGACAAGATGATCTGGGCATTTCTCAAATGACACAGGGTACCCTCAACATGCTTCCCCCCCCAACATACTGTAGTTCTAATGTAGTTTTGGAACCCCCGCTCCCCAACAGAGTACCGCTTCTTTTGGGCGGCCGATTTTCGGGACCCCATCTGGGCTTGGGGTTGTAATCAGAATGTCATGTGCAGATGAGTTAAAATCATGGCTTGACCTAAGTTCTGGGTCTTTTTTTCGAGTCTCTTTTTCTTGTACATTCCTTGTAGCCTAGGCTACCACAATATGCAGGGATTTCTTGGGATTCGTGATTAAGGTTTGGTTCGGGGTTCCGGTGCCCTCACATCCCCTAATCTGAGATCCACACTGAAAGGCACGTAAGTCGCTGAAATATATGTACCCTAAACCCTAAACCCTAAACCCTCTTGCACCCAGTCAAGACGTGTCAGTGTGTGTGACGCTCGCAAGGAGCCGAAGAAAGGCGCCACTCCACCCTCCTTCTATGGGGTTTTGGGCATGCTGTAGGGTTTAGGCTCCTTGGGGGTGTAGGAGGGTTTAGGGTTTAGGGTTTTAGGGTTTCGGGGGGTTTTGTTAACTTAAATATGCCCCGAACCTAAAATGCCCCATGAAGGGTTTTTGAGCTCCTCGGGGTGGATTTGGAAGATGGTGCAGTGAAGGTTTCGGGTTCTGGGCTCTTGTTAGTGTTTCTATCTTTTGGAACTATAGCTATTTGATGTTTGTCAAAGAGGGCCCCGCCCCCCGCCCCCCAAATCCAACCCAGAAAAAAGCCAGACTACGTACATGTCTCTCTATCTCTCTCTCTCTCTCTCTCTCTCTCTCCATTGTTGAAATTTATATATGTAGATAGACACCCTACGCGCTGAACCCTGTCCCTGAGGTCGGGATGAGGGGGTGCGGAAGCACGCTGCTGACTGCCTTGGCCAACTTGGTTCCGAGGTGCGGCGAGACATGCCAGCTGTACACTCCCCCCAAATCCCCCCAAACCTGAGAACCCCGACCGCCCAAACAATCTCTGCAAGAATTTGCCTTTTGTAAACACCCAAGGAGTCTAGCTGCTGGGGCTTTTCAAAGGCCACCTAAATTCTCAATTCCGTGTCGTGCTTCCGCTCACCTTAAGAGCTCCAGACTTTTTTGGGGGCGGTCTGGTAGTCTCTTTCCAGGTGCTTGGTTACGCTGCTCAAATGCCGGGTTTGAGATTCAAACTCGGGCGTTTGCATTTTTTCCTGCAAAGCCCTAAATCCTAACCCCTGTGTGTAGACTTCGGAGCTTCTGAGTGAGAGGCGGAAGAGTTCGACGGGACTCCTCATCTCCACAAGCAGGGTTCATGTGGGGCTTGTTCTAATTCCCCTTCCCTTTTTTTGAAGAGCAACCCCTTACCCTGAACCCGAACCCTAAACCCAAAGGCAGACAGCTTCGGCTGCCGCGCCTAGATCGTAAGTTCGAAGTTTTATAAAGT